GGGGGGGGGGGGGGGGAACCCCCGGATGACGAAGATTAGATAAGGCTAGGTTTCAAGAGACCAGAGGGTACAAGGTACAAAGACAAAGAAAAACAGATATCCTTTTCTGAAGGGAGAGAAGTGGGGCAGGGAGGGGGAGGGAAGGGTGGAGGCCGGGTGGAGGGGGTAGGGGGGAAGGAGGGAACGAACAACCCCAGGAAATCCCTTGAGAAGGAAGGAGGTAAGACCATACTGGACATCGAGTACTGACAGACTGCCGCTCACCCAAGAGCGTCCAAGATGCAATGCAGAATACTCGATCGGCAACAGTGCATTCTATAAATAGAAGAAGATTTCAGGGAATCTTCTGGTGAATCTCTGAGACAAGCTTTCAGAGTCAATCAGCCAACGAAATCTTTGATGCAAGGATTAATCTGTGATACAAGGATTAATCTTTGTCTCAGGCATGCTCATATCAGGACTTCATCGAGTGAATCTGGATGCAACTCAAGGTAGATGCATCCTCCAAAATCCAAAATCCAAACAGTTTGGGGTTCAAATAATCAGATAAAGATTTACAAGTAGTGAACTGAGACGCATACAAGATTGACAAACATAAGGTTTCAGGCAAAGAGTGGGATGTATTCCGACAAGTATTCAGGTCAAGTACAGGACAACAGAAAGATCACAGAAGTCAAGAGAGACAAACAGCACGGCATGTATTCAGACTAGTATTCAGGTCAAGTACAGGACAACAGAAAGATCACAGAAGTCAAGAGAGACAAACGGCACGGCATGTATTCAGACAAGTATTCAGGTCAAGCACAGGGCAACAGAAACATCACAGAAGTCAAGGGAGACAAACGGCACGGCGTGTATTCAGACAAGCATACAGGTCAAGTACAGGGCATTAGAAAAATCATAGAAGTCAAAGGAGAACAAACGGCACGGCAGCTCGCTGGGACTTCAAAAGGCCAAACCTTTCAAGATTCACCAGGCAAGCCCGCAAAGGACACGTTCTCGCACACTACAGTTCCAGGATGAATTTGACCGTGACCAGAGGCCAAATTCAACCAAAATAGTCCTTTCATGTGTGCATAATATGCATCAGGACTCTACTGACTTGATGACAGGTCATCGAGGAAGGACACATCCTACAGGATGACGACTTACAAGGACAGCCAGGTGCTTCAAGACAGGAAAAAAAACAACGAGGATGGAAGAAGAAAAAAGACGAGAGAAAAATAATAATAAAACGAAGACCTATACCAACGGGCGTATAGCTCAGTTGGTACACCACACCCATGAACTGTTCAAATATGAATCAGACCCAAGTTCGAATCCAGATACAATCAGATGACTAGAATAAAATAATTCTGAATTCCCTGAGCCCGGTCAGTTTTATGACCATATCCCAACAAGGCCGTCGCCCTTTTTTTCCCCCTCCAGAAAAAAGAAAAAGAAAAAGAAATCCTATGTCGAAGGCTCTTCACGGAACGTTCAGTGAACGTAAAGAGAGGAGCAACAATTACGAAATTACGAAATTAGAAAAAATAATCAAATGCGTCCCTCTGCATTCAATCACCAATCTCGACCGTGGAAACTTCCAGCCAATCTTTACCACCGTGGAAAACTTCCCGCCAACCGTGGAAAACTTCCCGCCAACCGTGGAAAACTTCCCGCCCGTGAAAAACTTCCCGCCAATTTTTACCGCCGTGGAAAATTTCCCGCCAATTTTTACCGCCGTGGAAAAATCCCCGTTAATTTTTACCCGCCAATTACCATGAAAGCCTCTGCATTAGTGTGGGGAACTTAAGACAGACACGAGACTCTTGTCCTTTTTCTTTTTCGTTTTGATGACGAGATTTTCTTCGCACGATGAGTCTGATGTAAACTCCGAGTCAACGGAAGTTCTCGACCAATTCTCGGTCGTCTTTAAAGCGTAGTAGCCAAAATGATATTTTTAGTTAAAAACACATAAACAAAGAGACCAGAAAAAAAAAAGCAGCAGCTTTAAAAAAAAAAAAAAAAAAAAAAAAAAAAAGGAAGCAGCAGCAATAAAACGAATCCAGTCCAGCGATGCACATGGACACCACAAAACGGTGTCTGTATGGCTTGTTCTCGTCGGCTCCGCTGACATGGATTAACATCACAAACCGTTTCGATCTGGTTCTCTTGTCGACTGTGGGAGCATGGTGATATCCAGCACTACTAGGCTCCTGACACGTGGCCAGCTAGGCTGTTGACACGTGTACAGCTAGCTGCTGACACGTGGACGACTATGTTGCAGATGTGGATCACTACGCGCTGCCGTAGACAACGACTTTCCTAAAGTCGCGGCCGACGATGCTGTACACGTGGATCACAACGCTGCTGACGTGGATCACTACGCTGACGACCTTCCTAAAGTGGCGGGAACTGCACGTAAAAAGCTCCAAAGCGTACCCTTCCCAATGCCAGTTTTTCGGGTTGTGTACAGATTAAGGTAAGCTCATTTTGCCCCAAAGCAAGGGAACGGGGATATCGAATAGATAGCGATCCCTTTCGTCGAGCAACCAAGTAGCGACTTCGAAAGTCTGCCAGCCAGCCACTCACTTGTCCTCCCGCGAAGCAGCCGTCTTCTGCCCAACACAAGGCACCCTCATCATGATTGATGATACGTACTCAACCTAGCTTTCCGGCCCGATACAGTCGCGATGAGGGTGCGTACCGTTGGACCGGGGGGGGGAGAGAGGAGGAGGGGGGGACGATAGGAAGTCGGAGCTTGGAGAAGAGAGCTTCTTCTTCCATCCAAGCCGCGACCCCAAAATCCGATCGCCTGTCGCCGGCAACGATCTGGCCAAGAGTCGGTCACCCCGTACCCCCTCCCTCCCTCCCTCCCTCCCTCTCTCGTCTTCCCACGAGCATAACGCACCCTCGTAATGACTGTACCGTACCGGGGAGATAGGGAGATCGGGGGGGGGGGGGGGGGGTTCGGCGGGAAGAAGGTAGTCGTCCGATCATCAAGGTCTGAAACAGATCCACGCCACCTCCACCACCATTCCCTCCTGAAAAAAAGGGGAAAAAATAAACGACCCAAATCCTGAAGACAGAAGAACGAAACTCTGGTTGTCTGATCGCCAATCCAATGGACCAGAGCTAAGAGAAGCGCAGCCATCAACGTAACAGTAATTCAACGCAACGGCCGAAAGGCGCAAATAAACGAACAACACCTTCTGCTCCTCCTCCTCCTCCTCCTCCTCCTACTCCTACTTTTGGAAACACACCTCATTGCTCGTCGTAATAACTCGATAGGGAAGCAAAGGATCGTCAGCAAAGGTCAAGTGTAGCAGACGGGGCTTGACGTGTCGCGCTGTGGTGATGACGCGTGGCAGGCCACATGCACACTGGAATGCGGCCAGGAGCACATTCTTTTAAAACAGTAGAATAGAGCACGCGGAGGAAGAGGATGATGCACCATTGCGACCTCCCCAGGCAGGCAGGCAGGCAGGGTTTCCAACGCGGCAGCGTCCTGGCCTGCCGCGCTGGACATCCATCTTTCCACGTCAGCAGATCCAGATCGGCACCCTCCTCCTCCCGATCCCCACACACAACAACTGTTCTCTTCAATCCAATTGCAATGCATCAAATTTGCTAGAGCACAACCAACAACAACAACACTGAAATGGACCATGAGAAAGAGAAAGACCGGCGCGCCACTTTCCTATACTCCTGCACTTTGCTATACTCCTGCACTTTGCTGTAGTCCTGCACTTTGCTATAGTCCTGCGACACCAAGCAGGGTATCCCTGGTGGCGGCGCCTTGCTACGCTTGAAGCTGTGCTGGACATCTTCCAGGTCAGCAAATCACCCGCTCAACTTAATCACAATTCAAGCCAGAACCTTTCGAGTCCAATCAGTCAGAGGTAGCCGCGGTAAATGGAGCGAGCGATAAGTACGATTCTGGAGCTCGCCTTTGCTGACTTGGCTGTACACCGACCTCGTAAATGGAGGCAAAATGAGCTTTTACCACAATCTGTACACAACCCGATCATCATCCTTCTCAAATTTCAAATCCCGGGTCTTGAAGACGCCTGAGAAAACTACATATAAAATAAATAAAACACCATGAACCCTTTTCCATCAAGAGTTCCATCGCAACTAGTGAAGCGCACCGATCCGGTCCAAACAAATACCAAGTTCACCTTCTCTCAGTTCCCTTTCCCCGGCCCCGGTCCCGGGGCATTCCCCTTCCCCGGCCCTCTCCCCTCCCCCGCCCCCTCCCCTTCCCAGGCCCCTTTTCCCCCTCCCAATCGTAATCTCCTGCTATCAACATCCTCCGCTGCTGCTGCCCCTGACTCCCTCTTTCGACGTGGAAAGGGACACATCAGCAAGGGACACATCAGCCGGCGGCGGTGTCAAATGAGCCCACAACAAAGAATAGGAGGACGAGTGAACTGACACAACGTGCTGCAAATAAGGGCGGGATGTCCCGAATGCTTGAGCCTCCATCAAAGTGGCCTTTATCAAACAACAACTAATTAGCGAAGGGGGGGGGTTGGAGTGAGGCAGTAGAGAGATGACGCTAATCCGATTAGGAAAAGGCTGATGAGCTGTACACGGGCGCACAACGACAATTCGACGTGGGCGCACGGAGACTTGACACGTGGCAGTTGACCAGTCAACCGCGGGCGGCAGAGGGCGAAATGTACCCTCTGCAGAAAACTACACCTTCTCCCCCCTGCTGCAAACGAAAGAACCCTGCTCACATATTTGTCCAGGGTCATCCTACTCCATGTGCCCCTGCTGCAAACGAAAGAATCCTGCTCACAAATTTGTGACCAGGTTCATCCTACTACTTGTGCGCAGCAAACCCTAACTTGATGGGACAAGAGAGAGAGAGAACGAAGGCCCCCACGGAACAAATGCAATCCGACGACGACGATGGAAACGTAAGACGACAAGCAAACGGACGGATGACGTAGACGGTATCTCAGCAGGCCAGGTCATCCATACATCACCTCCGGTGAAACTGGCCATGGCGGTGATCGTATGCATGCACGGCTGATGGAGAGGGGGAGAGAACGCCTGGGGGAGCAGGCAGAAGAGGAGGGAGAAAATGGCCATACGGAATGGCCAACGAGTAAGGAGGGGCAACATGATTGTTGAGAGACGGATGCGAGGACGTCGCATGGACCTCGAGTTCGCGAAGAATCTGGACGAAACTTGGTCGCAAATGCCGCTTCTGCCAGCACGCCTGTGCCAGACGAGCGAGGATAGGATTGCCCCGCTCCGGAATGGGAAGCCTCTCATTCTTATAAGCCACCTCGGTGACAAGTTGGTGTCGATCGACGCCTTTCCAGGGTTCGCGGCCGGTCATGAGCTCCCAGAGGACGACGCCATAGCTGTACACGTCGGCAGATTCGTCGTATTTCTCCTCCAGAAGGACTTCTGGCGCCATCCACGCCGGCGTTCCAGAGCCAAAGCTGGTAACCCCTCGAGTGTGCCGCTTGACCCTCGCGAGGCCGAAATCGCATATCTTTATGCGCCAGAGATCGTCCACTAGAATATTAGGGCTCTTGAGGTCGTGATGAAAGATGGGGGGATTGCGACTGTGGAGGTAGGTCATACCCCTCGCCACAGCGATGGCCACAGCCATCTGTTTTGCGGGCTCCATGGGGCCGTACTTGGCAAGAATATTATACAAACTACCCTTTCTCATAAATTCCGAGACGATGCACAAATTCGGCGGGCTCGTACAGAAGCCCATAAAAAGAATCAAGTTAGGGTGTCGCACCCGGCAGAGGGTGCGCACTTCGGCTCTGAACTGGTCCACAACTGCTGGCCGGGCGCAGTCGCCAACCAGCCGCTTCACAGCGACGGGAGTGCCCTGCCAGGTTCCACGAAACACCTCCGCAAATCCACCCACCCCCACTCTCTCATGGATATGCAGCTGATTGTAGTCGATCTCCCATTCCTCTGGCGAGCCTGCGTGATCATACAGCATAAGCGCGCAATCGTCGTCTTTCCGAAGCGGCAAATCCCTTCTGTCTAGCATCATTAGGGCATCCCTCCTCGGTCCCCGGGCCCCCGCCACTGCATTGATGGGCGCCTGCACTGCTGCCGCCCCACAGCCCGCGCAGCCATCTCCCGCTCCCTTCCCCCCCGCTCCCGCTCCCGAGCCCCGCTCCGCATCCCTTCCGCCCCCCACCTCCTTGCCGTCTACACCCCTTATGGGGGAAACAGGCCGGCCCACGCCCGTGCGATTCCACATCGATCCCCGCCATTCAATCCTGTACGGCGGGGTCCCGGCGGACCCGCCGCCGTCCCCCATCACACTGGACGATGCTTCGTTGTCCGGACACCGCCGGTCCTCTGCGCCTGCGTTCGGCGCGCGCCACTGACCGGACATCTCCACCGCTCCGCTTCGCTCCGCCCTGTCGAACCCGTCTAGGCTAGCAGTCCTCTTCAAACCCAGCAATCTCGGGCAAAACTCCTTTGCGGCCTTCGGCAACCCCTTTCCCTCCACCGCCGCTTCCCCTGCACGCCTTTCGCCCGCCATCTCATGAGCCGCGACCAGATCCATAGCTGCAGCGCCAGCAGCCCTTCCCTCACTCGTGCTGCTGCTATTCCGCAGACGGACATCATTATCCTTGATCTGCACTCTCAAGCAAGGTGGGCGGTTTGGGTCCACGCACGCACCGCTTCCGTCTCTCTCCTCCTCCTCGTCGGGGATATGATGCACCAACCTCTCATCGTCTCTTCTTAGAGAGGACCCCCCCCCCGGGAGAGCTCCAGGCACCGCTCCAGGAGAAGGGCCGGCGGGAGCTGGTCCAGGAGGGACAGGTGCGGCGGCGGCGGGCGCGCGATCCGCTCCGCTTATCCGTTTCAAATTTGAAAACATGAACGGCGAAGCATCCGGCCCAAGATACCTCAAGCTCTGCAGCCCGCCGGCGGGAACACCCCCCGGGCCCAGCGGTACGCTGGGCTTCATGTTCATGTTCATCACCTGCGCTAACCTCCCCTGGGGAAGGTGGGCGCGAAAACAATACGTGAGGCGGAAGTCCACCGTACGGTCGTCCACGGGCATGCACTCTCTGAGAGGATTCTTCCACTCACTGAAAATGACATCATCCGACTGGATCGCTAAGGAGTTGAGCAGATCTTCCACCCCCTCTATCACAGTGCGTGCTGCCACTTCTGCCAGAGAGCGACGATGCAGCTGATCAACGACGGCCCCGCGTGGAGGCTTCATCGACGGCCCCACTTCTCCGGGATCGTCCTCCTCCCCCGACTGCGGGACCTCAACGATCATTCCCGCACCCACTCCGTCGGCGGCGCCAGGGAGAGCGTCCAACTCCCTGCTACCGCCATCCGTGACCCCGGCGTCATCCTGCGCTGCATTCTCCCCGCCCTCCCCACCCCCTCCGCCCCCTCCATCAGGCGATACACAGTCTGCTGCTACTGCTGCTCCCACGACCGCGCGGGAACGGCCTGACGAATCGCCTCGTCCAGCCATCTCTACCCCCCCGGCCCTCGCCGTATCAGCTGCCGCTGCTTCTGTCCCTTCCTCACCTTCCCCCCTCCCGCTTGCCCCCTCTGCGCCGCTCATCCCATCCTCTTTCGATAATGCCACTTCCCCACTTCTCTCATCGTCCCCTTCTTCTCCTCCCATACCGCCGCCATCTACCCCGCCGCTTCCTGTGCGCCCCGCCGACGACAAAAGCGGCTGCAACGACGACGCCGAATGCACCGATACCCCAAACGGCGGCCATCTCTCCCTCCACCTGTCCTTGTATTGACCGTAGGTGGAAGAAGGTCCTGACAAGCTGCTCGAACCCTTGCCCGCCTCCGACGTGACGCTCCCAACCGTCCTCTCGCTCGCCTCATCTTGCCGCAGAAATTGCTCTCGCAGGCAGTGCTCTTCATCGCCATACCTTTCCTCCCCTCCCCCAACACCCCTCTGATACTGTCCCTGCTGAAGGTGGGGATACAGCGACTGGCGTCGAAGTGAATGCGGCCGACTCCTCCTCTGCCGCCCGAGGCCCGACAAACGATAACAGTGGGAGCCGTCCTCGGACGAGCAACCCGGCCTATCGTCAACCGTACGTCCCGATCCCGATTGGTAAGAATTATTAGTGCGGTAATCCCGATCAAAGCCACAAATGCGCCCGGGACATGGATAGAGACATCGGCAGTTTTTCGATCGACCGGGAACCAAGCGAGCAGCTTCTTCCCCTTCACCTTCACCTCCAACTCCTAATCCTCTCCCACCATTGTCTGCCGGCGATGGAGTTCTCCGTCCAAAAGATTCGCCGCCATCGCCGTCACCTCCCCCACCGAATCTGGACCTGGTACCGTAGCCGTCCTCCGTCTCGCTGCTGGGAGCGCCACAGACGGACAGATCGTAATCCAACGGATCTGAGTAACGACAACCCGCCCCCGACAAGACCATGCCAGAAGTGTCGACATCCCTGGTCGAACAGAGAATACCGCTTTGGATCGTAGATGGGACGAAGCTGGAGGCACTGGAGTACGCCTCTGGAACGCCTAAGTCCCGGAAACTGTCGTAGCCAGACAAGAGAGGAGGCGGGAACTTGGAGGCAGGACAGCCCCCCCCGCCTACCACGATTACCCGACCTCCGCCTCCTCCCCCCCCAACTCCCCCTCCGCCGCCGCCGCCGCCGCCTCCGGCACCGACCACAAGAGCCGCGCACGACTCCAGCTGCCTAAGCGCTGCGGGACACCGCAGATTCCCCAATTCGTTCGAGCTCGACGGAGGAGCCATCGGAGACCCCATCCCCGCCCTCTTCTCTGGGAATAAGGCCATCATCGCCATCCTCTCTCTCTCCCTCGGCACCGTACGTCCACCGGTCGGCCCCTCCTCGATCATTCGAAATCGTCACCGCTCGATGATCATCCGCAAGCTCTCAGTAATAGTAATAACCCCTTCCGCTCTCTCTTTCTCTTCTCTCTCCCCAAAACACCTATCATCGTTGTACTTGCTCATTACCCGCCTATCTTTCTACCGATCTATCGATCAATCAATTGCAGGGCCGCCTTCCGGTGCCTGTCCGCCAAAGAGTCCCACTCCTGCTATCGCCGTGAACGATTGTTTGATCGACGCCTTTGCGAGAAAGAAGAAAAACGACGACGATGACGGTACGCGTCGCCCATGCAACCAGAGAATAACATATGCAGTGCGTGGATGAGGTGCCGAAGGAATGTAGGTCGCGACACGTGGCACCGGCGTAAATGTGTCGGGCTAGAGCAGCACGGCCCGCCTCGGCTAAAAGCCTAAAACGCTGCTCAGGCCGAGGGTTGAACTCCCCGCAATGGGGTTCCAGTTCGGATGGAATTTCAGGCGAAAAACGCGTGGGTATTCTCAACCCTCAGGCTGCGCGGGGGATGATGAAGGTGTTTTGTCGTTTTGCGTCCTCGAGCAGCAGGTTCTTCGTATTCTACTTGAGCTCAATAGAATAGGGGTCACGACCGGCGGAAAGCAGTATTTTGGGGCCGGTCGCACAGCCCCAGGAAACCTTTAGGGCCACCGCTCGGTCTGACCACCACTTTCCCAGCCATTTTTCTGCAACGAGGCACTGCTCGCACCGCGTGTGGGGAGATGTACTGGCCTGCCGGTTTGCAACAAAAGCATCCAGGCAATACACAACGCTTGCACAGCCCGTTTTACCTGGATGTATATTTTTCGCAAGCCGGACGGAAGGCAAGTAGCCACCAGTACATCTGAGGCTAAATGTACCAGCCTAAGGGTTGGACCCCACAGCCGCGCGGAAAGAAATTTGGTTTCCAAAACCACTTCGGCGAGACCCCACACAGCCGCGCGGCAAGAAATATGGTTTCCAAAACCACTTCGGCGAGACCCCACAGCGAGACCCCACAGCGAGCGGATTCGGTCTTTGGAAACATGGGAGGAGTGTTTCCACTCAGGCGGCGGGCCCTTCGTACCCCCTAGCGACAGCACTTCCCGGTGGCGACGGAAGGGTAGGGGGGGGGGCATCCGCTCCGATGCCGACGGAGGGTCGGGGACTGTGCTCGTGTGCGGACTTCCGGTGGTCCAAGCAGGTGATCCACAGCCGTACCAGGACAAGAAGTGGGTGTCACACAAGTGGAAGGCGTGGTTGATGTGTCTTTTCTTTCGGGGGGGAGGGGGGGTACCGAGAACGACCCGTCGTAGGCCGACGAAGGGTCCAACACCTTGCGTTGGGGTCATCCAGGCTCCCTTCCCGCTGCTGGCGCGCGTGGTCTCATACAACGGTTCAAATTCAAAATTCGAAGGGGGAGGCTGGGCGGGTTTGGCGGGCGGGAGGATTTCAAAAAGGGTTGTACATGACGTGAACGGCAACCGAAAAAAAAAAAAAAAAAGACAGGAAAGGGACATCCGTTGCATCGAGCATTCGAACGACGACTGTCCCGTGCATGTCCCATGCAAGCGACAACCCGGGCAGCCGTTACCGACCTTCCACAATCATTCCAAGCGCCATACCTCAGGCTGTTCGAAGGCATGCAAGGGGTTCATGCAATCCTAGCGGCCCTGTCACCGCACATTCCACATCGTCGGGCTGTAGGAGCAGCTTGCGGAGCGTACCTTGGACATCGACTGCTTCCTCCGATTGGCAATGGTACGAGCAACAAGGCCAGCGAGCGCAGCGGCGGTCTCCCGAATGTGGCAGCCCGAGTCCCACCAATCTGCAGTGAGGTTGGCGGGGACATCGTCATCAGGGGCGTCCTCCCCTCCCGACGGACGAAAACATCACCTGCATGCGTGCCACGTTGCAGGCTCCTCGCTCAGTCCGCATCAGCCATTGGTCGGTGTCATCTCCCGATTTCCCAGTCCCCCGTTCCGGCCCGATGTGTCCTTCGCCCATGGCAGTTGCCACCCACAACCAGTTCAGCAGCACAAGAGTCGACGACCCTGCAGCCTCGTGTGTCTGCGGCAGTGACGACGGCAGAGGCGTCGGGGATCAACCTGCCTGGCAGCAAAGGTCATATCTGTTGCTGCTGCGGAAGGGGAGCAAGCTCCACAGATGTCCATACTCCTTGCATTTCCCTTCATCCCACAATCCTCTTCATGCTAGGGTTGTCGGTCATCCTTGTCATTGCCATCTTCCTGGCCTGTGTTGTTCTCCTCCTCGCTCTCGCCTTTTGCGTTGCCATTTTCGTCCGTTTTTCGTAGGGGACGAAGGTCACGGTGTTTTTGCATTGTCATCTGCTTTGTGAGCATGGACAGACAACGTTAGATCGAGGACGGCGAAAACAGAGGTATCGGAGGTTCTCGCCACAGTTCCCAACAATCGGCGCAGTATCAAGGTTTGCACTCCGTTCCGCCATCCACCCACTTGTCCATGCTGAGTCAGGACGCTGACAAGTTCGGTGTCCCTCCTACCTTCCCCGCGGCTGTTGGGCAACTGCCGGCATGGAGGAACGATCCGCCCGGCCTCCAAGATGTGCGATCGGGTCATGTGCCTTTCTACCATGCTCGAGATGACCATGGGGGCGTGGTCGGCCGCGGCAGTTTGTCTGGCGCTGTGTACTCACAACGGACTCCCGCTCACATGCCCATGCACGAGGGCAGCACGACCGGTGCAGGCAGTTTCACAGCGGCGTTGTGTGGGGAGTACAAGGAGCCATTCTCCGATGGTCTCCCTAGACGGATGTCAGTGGACGATCTGTCAGGACCACAGCGGTCTAACGGGGTGACATCCAACCAGTAGTGGAATGGCGGTGTGTACAACCATGGACAAAACGACTTTTTGACACGTGGGGCACAAATCGGGAGTGGGCAGGGGACATTGCCACAGGGAGTTGGGACATGGGCAATTACATGCGACGACGGGGGCGAACGTGGACAGTGGCAGTGGTGTGCGTGAAGGGCAGGTGTGCCCTCATGCAGCCCTCCAGCAGGTCACAGTCGAGGTTGGGTCGTCCGAGTCCGTCGATCGTCTGCGTGGCGGCTTGCCACCGGCCAGCCGTGGTGATGGAAGGGGGCGAGGTGAAGGGCGACAAGCCACAAGTGACAGCAGTGGATAAAGCGGTCGGGCAAGACAGCCGGCACGGGGAGGACGTGGCAGAGGAGGGTGTACTCCACCACCACCTGCATGCCCTGCGGAGGCGAGTGGGAGTGGAAAGGACGTAGGCGGGCAGGAGACCAATAACAACCCGACACCAGTTAACGAGGGAGTCCGTAAAGGACAAACTCCTGCCAAAAAGATAGTGCCTTGGACGTTGGAGGAGTGCTTGGCGTTGGCGAAATGGCAACGTGAGGATGACGCCATGATGGCAGATGCGTCCGTCAGGCACAAGTGCATGAAGAAGGGGGAGAGGCAAGAGTGGGTGTCCGAGCGCATGAAAGAGGAAGGGATGATGAGGTCCGCCGAGGACTGCAGGAAAAAACGGTTTAACCTGGGACAGAAGCTGAAACTGCTTGTGGATAAGGTGGGGCGGTCAGACCATCAATCGTATTGGGATATGACCGAAGAGGAGAGAGAGGCCGAAGGTCTTTACGCCACATTCGATCAACGTCTTTGGCAGGCGATGAAGTGGGTGTTACAAAGACCGTCTGGGACGTGTGATGAAGCCATGAACTCGGACACCATGGGTGGAGTTGAAGCAGAAGGCACGGGGGGAGGTTCAGGTGAGCAAGCAGGGTCAGACAGAGGAGGGTCCGACACGCCGGGAAGTAGGTCGAAGTTCAGGCGAACCAGCGACAGCAGAGTCCATGTTGGAGATGACCCATCTTCTGTGTCGTTTGTGGGAGTTGCCATGGCTGAGTCCACACGTGTGTACGTGGACGGTTTGGATAGAGTCGCGACGACGATTGCTCAAGTGAGCAAGGAAGGTGCCACCATCATCGCCGGGAGCATAGGTGAAATGGCGACCCAGATAGGTGCAGTCGCATCAGCCATGGGTGAAGGGAACGCTGTGCTGCAGCTCCTGGTTGGTGTGATGGGTGCCCGGAATTCGGGCGGACCACGGAGTACTGGGGGGGTGTAGGGGAACCTATCCTTCAAAGCGGTGGGTAGTGAAGAGGCTGGTAACAAACGGTACAGGGTACAAAATAGATGTGGGGAAGTAGAAGAAAAACAGGAATGCAGAAAAAAAAAAAAAAAAAACGGGGTTGTCACATCTGTCAGCGGACCGTCACTGCTCGTGCATTGCCGCATCCCTCGGTGAATGGAAGGGGTCGTGTCGGGTCCGACACCACGGTGGCTAGTCACGGGGGGGGGGGGGGGGGGGGCGGGCTGGTCGTCAAACTCCGAGTGCGGGTAGGATCTTCTGCCCTCGTCCGGAGCTATAAATTCACGAATTGGACAGAGTCACGACATAAGATCGCCCGTGCCTGTCTCTCTGCCGGGTTGTGGTGACAGGAGTCGAAGCCCCCCTTCCGAGTACGTGTGCACATCAGTCGTGGAGAGAGCGAGAGCGAGCAACCGACCAATACAGAGAGAGAGAGAGAGAGAGAGAGAGAGAGAGAGAGAGAGAGAGAGAGAGAGAGAGAGAGAGAGAGAGAGAGAGAGAG